TTTTCATGCTACAAAGTACATTGGAAAATTTGTGTTAAATTTAACACATTTCACACATTTGTATCTCAAACGATCCAGTCCAAGTGTGTTAATTTAAGTGTTAATTTAACACAAGGTAAATATGTTAGAAGGTGACGTAAGTGTTATTTTAAAAAAGGTAGCACTGACACAATTGTAAACAAATCGTAAAATCATTATTTTCTCAGTAAAATTAACATTTATGATGTTAAATTATCACATTTTATTATTATTTATCTTATAGAATTTACATTTGAAAGCATTATTTTTGTTCATTTATTCATAAATTGTATTATTTTGATGCTAAGAAATATTTAATATTAATTTAACACAAACTATTTAAATAATCACATTATGTTAAATATTTAACACAAAATTTTAACAAGGACTTGAGTAATATCTTTTAATTAACATAAATTAACCTGGATCCTGTAAACCCAGCATCAGTACACTGAGAAAAATGGTCTGGTTAGATTAAATAGTAAATTCTGAAAAATGGACGAATCAGAATTTTCTGATTAAATCTATTAGAATTCTAGTTAAGATAACTAGAATTCTGATTAGTATAATTATTCTAGTAAAAATTAGAATTCTAGTAAATTTGACTAAAAATATTGTATCAACCAGAATTCCAGTTATCTCAACTAAATTATTGTAATGGACTGAAATATTCCTTCCTTATTTACGAATAGAAATATCGAAATTTTGCGTTGTGAAAAATCGGTTTTTTAGTTGACCAACTCACTTTTCGAGACTTTATCGATCGTGAGATGTGACGTATTTGATTTACTTCGCGACATTAATAGCACCACGACAACTTAAGAAAGGAAAAAAGAATCAAGAGTCGTAGGCCGCGTGCATGACCAGCGCAATGGAGTAGATACGTAAAACTTTTAAATACAACGCGATAAGGACGGTCGTTCGTGACGATAACAAAGTTGCGCCGATATTCTTTTCTATGTGTTGTAGCTGAACTCTGAAAGAACACTCGATAAAATAAGTGACTATGTAAAAAGAAGTATCATTTGTATTATTTTATACTTTAAACATTATCTTTGTCTTTAGTCTTCGTTCTTTCGGAAGGAAAAAGGAGGGAAAAAGAGCATGCGAAGATATAACTTGTTTTCAGCGGAAATTTTTTATCTGCTAGCCTCTCTACACGTCCAGCCAAGAGCAGCGATATTACGATTCCTCATCGTTGTTTCATATTGATTTCTCTTTCTGCCTTCAAGCTGCGATGCGAGTTGAAAAATTATGATGAAAATCGAGGTGAATGTATTTGCGAATTTTCAAGGTCCAATTTGATCGAGAAAATAGGATTAATTCTCTTATTTAAAATTTAATAAAGAATAACGGTTCAGCTAATTAAATAAATTAATAATATAATATAGGGCTATGAATCACTCAAGTTATTGTGTGAGTAAAAATATTTATATTGACAATATAAATTTTGTAACAGACGTTTCGACCTCTATCGGGTTATTTTTAATGTTGAATAATAATTTTTAAAAAATTACCGGTAACTACGCAAGATGTTCACAAATTAAAATAAAAAACGCATGTTGTATTCTTATGTTGACAAGAAGTATTACTACAGGAAACGACTTAGAAACAAGCAGCTTCAAATCAGAAGTTGATATTAGTTGAATTCAATCGCATAATAATTGCATGAAATCTATTATAAACTTCTCCTCAAATTTATAATAGGTTGATACTATGAATTCAATGTAAAAAAGATGTATACACGCTTCATGTTCCTTATACAACTGATTAAAGTTAGATCGTCCAAATTAATTTAAAAAAATTGAGTACTAACTGCATTATAATATTTAGCGATATTACAAAAATTCTTAAAATATAATAGAACTCCGAGATGTAATCTATTTCATATTTAATTTAATTATTGGTTTAATTTAATTTATAATTGTTATTACAATAAAATCTCAAATGTATTTTGCATACAATTATTCTTTTTTAATGTAATACTTATCTAATTTGATTTCGAAAATTTTTATACACTGAAAAAAATTACTAAATTTTAACAAATATCTATTTGAATGGATCTAAATAAATATTTACTAAATATATCATTGATATAAAAATCATTTTAATTTGATCATTCTTTGGGTAAATATTTACTTTCTATAAGTAAATGTTTACTCGGTGATATTTGAAGAAACATTATTAAGATTTTAGAAGTAAATTTTTTTTTAGTGTATGTATTGTTTGTTCAGACGTGATAATTATCATTTTTTTTTTAAATCACAAGATCGCAAGTAACATGCTAAAAGTCTTATTTTACGTACCCTCTTCGCTTCAATTTTCAGTAGCATCAAAGTAAAAAATGCATGGCCGCCACGATGTTTCTCCCTATGGTCGTTACCGTGACTACATCATTTCCATAATATAATTACCGTCACCATATCGTTCCCGAGAGCGTCAACAAAAGCCCACCACGGTCGGGACACGTAATATATGAATGATATTCATTATACTCGTCGTATAGCGATACCGTTTCGCGGTGGAATAAAACGCAGGACTTCCCACACGACGACGGTGCGAATGCATTATGTAATCTATGCGTGGGCGCGGTACCCTTTTTGCCTTTATCTCGAGGGCACGCACTTCTCGCGCGAGAGAATCAAGAGAGAAAGAAAAGTGCATCCATGATGTAAGACTGCAAGACTTTCATTGCGCGTAATGGTGGTCGAACACACTTTTGGGACAATTTTTTTATTGATATATCTACACTGAGAAACTCATTCAATTGAATCAATTAATTTCTTGTTTAAACCTGTTTATGGACAAACAAAATTTTTGGTTGATGCAATAAAATAATTTAGTTAAAACGCAATTGGTTATTGTAACATTTTACTTGTTTCTAGTAAATATTGACATCTGATAAATTTGTTTATCAGAAGCAAATAAAATGTTACAATAACCAAACTTTTATTATATCAACCAAGGATTTTGTTTTTCCATATTGGAACAAGAAATTAATTGATTTAATAAATGGGTTTCTCAGTGTAGTAAATTTTTAATAGCAGCTCTATATTGGCTCATAACATTTTGATGACTAATTTTATGATTGATCATCGACTGCGCATCTCGGGAGTGAAATTTGAGAGAGTGACAATTGTATTACGTCATGAGTGCATCGAATGTCGACTAGATTCGCCGAGCTAAACTTTAATTCTGACTTTTTCCTTTTCTTTTTGCCGTCCTTCCTGTGTGCTACCAAGCACGCCGTTTATATTTCCGCAAGGCTATACCTTGACGCCACGCATCCGCGCACGCAGATTGCGTTACGAAACGATTAATTACTGCGTTGTCCCCTCCAAGGTCAGCGTCGACAATGAACGCATTTCGCACGGAACAGGTGAGATCGCGATGGCGAACGCTCGGCTTCGCAGCTGTTCGGCAGATAAACGCCGGGATGCCCTTAGGATGATGGAGCCTCTACGGGAACGAGATCTTACAATTATTTAAAAGCGCGTGACATTCAGAATCAGAATGATTCTAAGTTCATAACATGTGAAGTAGACGAGTTTATGTTTACAAAAGGAATTTTATCAAGTACGGACTTCGAGATGATTCTTCCTCTGAATTCTTCACGTTTTGATCTGTCTGAAGTTTGCATTTTTAGTTTGCGATTGATAAGTATCTAGATACTACTTTCTAGATTCTTCTAACTTCTTCTAGATTCTTTCTCTATGAAATTTCACTTTAAGGATTGAAAATTGAGTCACTCTTTTCCAAGATTGGCTCGATTTTCTTTCTTTAGAATGAGATTCTACTCCAAAGAATTTAGAGAGTAAGATCGGATGATACTACTTCGATTAATTTTATTTTATGAACGAAGGATTCTGCTGAAGTATCTAAAAATGTGTAGCTAGATACAGATTCACAAATACTTTCGTATCAACTTATCAATATAATTAGATAGAACGCTTAAACTAGTTGCTAGAATATCAAAACTTTTTGCTTATTATGCCTGAGATTCCTACTTTCTAAATTCTTTGAAGTGAAATCTCACTCTAAAGGGAAAGAAAAATTAAGCCAATCTTAAAAAACAGTGACTTAATTTTTAGTCTTTAAGAGTGAGGTTCCACTTTTCAGAATGAGCTTTTATTCTAAAAGTTTTAATACACGTTAATTACTTTGATAGTTCAACAAAATTATTTTCGAATTTGTACCCAGCTAAACCTTTAGACACTCGTTCTTTCATATGACTTATCTTACGTTTTTCGATCCTGCTAGATCCCTGCAGATTTCTCTCGCTATAAACAAATTAAATTAGATGCACCAGGAACTCTAAAGAATTTTTTTCACCGAACGAACGTCAACAAAGAACTCTCCCGAGATTCTTTTTTTCTTAGTATTGCGTTAACCGCATTTACGGAAAAGTCAGTTGCCACGTGTGCAGACCGGAAGAGGGAGAAAAAAGAGAATAGCCTGCGATACCACATTACAGACCTTACGAGGAGATGCATTAAGAAGCTCGGTAGGATACTCTAGAACCTTACATTTGGCCTCGAGTTTCATCACTCGGTGTAGGGCATCGATCGCATCATTGCCCGCTGGTAGCCCGGGAGAGAAAGAGAGAAAGAGAGAGAACGAGAGAGAGAGAGAGAGAGAGAGAGAGAGAGGTCGTGGGGCGGGGGCGGCGGTTTGGCGCCGGGGTGTCGTCCGGGTAGAGTGGGGCAAGTGCACTCCGACACACTGCAAGCGGACCCTATATGCAATTGGCTGGAAAGTGCATCGCTGGAGGGGATGCTGGGAGAGAGGTAACGAGAAGGAGTGAGAAAGAGATAAGGACAGTGAGACAGAGAGAAGGAAGGGTCACGGGAGGGAGAGGGCGGTTGCACACACGAAGTAGACATATAGGTCAATGTCGGGACACTCCTGGTGCACTGTTTAGCACGAGTCACCTACTGACCTACTTGCCTCCTCCTTTTGCGTACCCTGACCAGCGTACGTACCATCCTGGCTTCCCGGCCGCGGCATCGCATCCATGTTGCACTTCCCGTCCGGTCCGGTCATGGATGAACTCGGTCTGACGGAGAAATGAATCCGCATTCGTTTGAATCTCGTAACTTCAACGGCATATATGTATACGCTTCAACGGCATATATGAAAACGATGACCCGCACAGATAACGCGGCCGCGACGCGATAACGCTCCGAGATATCAGTATTCATTCGGGCGTCGCGTCGTAGAAATTATGGTCGGCATTCGTGTCATCGTAGTTGATTAATTACGTTTCGTAGTATATTATATATGAATATGCTATGCGATAATTAACCCTTTGCAGCTGACATCATAATCAATAACGCAATTACAGACACGATCTGTAAGTTCCATTTAACTACTTTAGTATGCGCAATGTATATCAATTTTAAAGGCACTATCCATTGAAATTATTATACAGTATTAATTGTTTAATTCTGTTTAATTGTGTTTCCGTCGTGTATACAAGTGCGTGTGAAAAAAAAACTTGATATTTTCGTAGAGATGTATTAGCTAAATTGCGCTCAGACAAAGTAAGTAGGGTAACTGTCTTTATTAATGTGTCTAGCCAATTTGCTTATTACTGAATTAATTACTAAATATTGTAGCTTTAATTGTATGCAATCTTATTTGCTCTTATTTGCAATCAATATCGGGTTTTCAATTATTTCTTTTCCTTATAATATTTCTTTACTCTAAAAAATGTTAATACTTTATAATGTTTTTGACAAAAATAAAAAATATGTTTTTGTCCCTGTTAGTGAGTCCTCCAAGTGGCGATAGTCCTATTATAATATTATGCCCCCCAATTTATATCCACATTTGACTCATTTTAACATATAATTACTAAAACAGGTAATAAATTTAAGCTAATTGTTTAAGTTAATATTATATAAACCATTATTTCAATATTTATTTCAATGTGCACTTATAACAGAACGTTCTCAATTCCAATGCAGGGCACATTAATAGGGACAAGTTTAAAATCTTGCGGTACGTATTACAGGATTCACACAAATTTCTCATATCTTTCGAAAAATATTTAAAACACTTTAATATTCAAAAAATAAAATATTATCTTCGGTATCGTATGCATTAATAATTTAACTTAAGAAGAAAAAAATAATTTTTCTTATTCGTGCTAGTTTTCTTTATGACTTATCGAAATACAAAAGCACCCTAATAGAGACAGGCACAGTAATTAGGACAGTTACCCTAGTACTGCGCTTTATTTTAATAAAAAGCTGCGTCGAGAATTGCGAGGCATCGCAGAATCGCCGCTTTGTAATTTACCCACAGTAACCTCCGTGTTCTATTTATGGCTCTGTCTTCCGAGATGCAACGCGGCTGCATTGCGGGCGCACGCAGGTGTATTTCGTCATCCGGACGTTTCCGGAGCGGAAAAATTTCAGCGATGCGGGATGCATAAAGAAAGAGCGTGTCGTCTCGCAAATCCTGATCGAATGGGCGGCCATGCGACCTATATTCTGTCATCCAATCCAACAGGTCTTCTTTGACATCATTGGTCCGATTCATCCTTCCTTCTTTCCCCCTCTGTCTTTCTCTCGTTTTTTTCTCTCGCCATGATTTACATCCGCCTCTGCAAAATGTTTACGTCGACATATGTTAACACATTTTTATTGCTGTCCAGATACAATAGTAATAGTAGTAATATCTATAAAAAAATATGTCTCACTTTCAACGAGTTCTAGAAAAAATTTAGAAAAAATAAGAACTAAAGAAACTTGACAATTGCGAATTCAGCGGTTCGTAGAAAGTATTTGAAAATAAGTGTCGATTATAAATCCGTTTTTATCTAAATGAACACTACACTGTTAGAGATAAAAGAGCAATGGCAATTGAATCTCTTAGTTAAATAACATTTTGTTATTTTTAACTTTCATGTTGTCAAGATATAAATCAATTCATTTCTGTGATTAGTTTCAAAGTAGAATTACGTTCGTATTAACATATATATAATACTTGGTAAATAATAAATTTGAGTCAAATTTCATACATTTTCTTTTCTATAGGAATTATTAAAAAAATAATTCAAATTTAAAATTATGAATTTAACATTTGTACTTTCTTAAATCTTTGGAGTGGAATCTAATTCAACAAAAACAAATGAGCCAATATTGAAAAAAATAACTCAATTGTCAATTTTCAAGAGTGAGACTTCACTCTTTAGGCTTAGATTCCACTCCAAAGATTTTAGAGAGTAGCATTTCTTGTACTCAAAATAAGATAATTATAAATTTTTAATTTAGCGAAAAAACTAAAAAAAGTTCTAGCACAGCAAAAAAACAATTTTGTGACACACATTTTCCGTCTTTATAGGAATAATTTATCGAAAGGCAATCGAAGACGAATAAGCTTTGGAGCCTCCAAGACGAGGCTGCATCGTAACGAAAATAGAACGGAAAGAAAGATTATATGCAGAGTGTCCTAGAATCGTCGAATATTCTTCATTAAATTAAGAACGATTATTCGATCGTTTCTCAAAGAGCTCGATAATGTCTCGCAATAATAAAATAGGTCTGAAAATTCGGTCTAACCGTATAATCACGCGCAAAGTTAAGTGAATCGATCGCGTGTACGAAGCGATCGATTCACGATCTCTCAGATGCGGTAGCTTCGTTATACGCTGATTGTAGATTTAATCGAATATGCGCCATGTAAATGCTCGCTTTACTTATCGCTTCGTAGCATCGCGCATTTCACGCTTGCCTGCTAATTGAGGGAGTGCCCGGGGCGAATCAAAGGTAAAACCAATCGCGCTTCGACGTAATAATAGCAGTCCATTGCTTAGCAGTAAAATATCATGTATATTTAACAAGCGATGAACTTTTCCAGGTTGCTCGTCGAAAGAATTGATTGCCTCTCGTTTACGCCAATCGCGGTTTTACGTGACGAGGCTTCATTTACCGATCGCGCGGTGGGAATGTCAAGGTTGGTTTACCAGTCGCGCGATGCAATTTTCAACTGAAATGCAACCCCGATGCGAGGAGGTGGGAGGGGGTGGCTTTTTTGCCCGGGTGAAGCGGAAAGGAAATCGTGCGCGTGCTCGAAATTGGGTCAAGTGCGGATGAGTGACGCAAAGAGCAGGGCAAGGACCATCTCTCGGATTCGCCGAGAAGAAAATATGGATCATAAAATGAATTATAAAAATGAAATGAATTTCAAGGACTGATCTACTTATTAAATTCAGGATTTTACAACAATTATTTTGCATTACTTTTTACATTTGACGTAATATTTGTTTTAATTGAAAAAGATTCGGTGAATTAAAACGGTTTCATTACGTTTTAAAATAAAATTATTATTGTACGCGTTTATTTGGATATGGCTCTTGCGATTTTTACTTGTTGTTTTCCTCTTTTTTTTTTGTATATTTTAATTTTTGATTAATTTTCATTCATTTATGACTATATTTTATTCTTTGTAATTTATTTATTTTAGTTGAAAAAGATTCGGTGAATTGAAACGGTTATGTTTTAAAATAAAATTTATTATACGCCTTTGGCCATTTTTATTATTAGAATTTATAAATTAAAATTCATTATTTTTATTTCTCATTTTATTTCTCTTTCTTTTATTATATGCTATAAAAATGAATTTTAAATTTTAATATACAATGTTTTTAGCTTTACGTTATATAATTGTGTCAATTCTAAAGAAAAAGGTTTATAGCAAAAAGAGTTAATTATAAAAATAAATATACTGAAATATCGTCATGTAAAAAAATAAATCTTCTAGATTCTTTTTTGATTTCTCTAGTTTTACATGCACCGTACTATGTAATTATTAACAGCGATACGTGTACTTTGAGTTATGCTCGAAATATAAACGACTGCATTGCTTTTACTTATCGCAAAGTTTGCAACTAACATTTGTTTTCTTTGATTTTATTGCAGGTGAGTACCACGATATCTGTATCGGTTATCATGCATCTTACTTCGCTGGTACGCGTTATACTTCTTCGTCACGTAAGTAACTGTTTTTAAGATGATTTACATGCTTTCGTGATACCTCTAGAACTTCATAATTGTACCAGCCACGTGCAACGATTAATCGTCGGCTTAATAAAGATTTACCGAGCTTTGCAAAAAGAAAACGCGCGAAAACCTTTTCCTTCTAAAATACTTTATAGCACCTACTTTTACTACGATAAATCCATATCTTCGTTTTAATTCTTACGCTTTATGATTGTACTCTTAAAGTTAAAATTGATTTCTTAAAGTTTAAAACAGATTTGGCGATTTTTATCACGTCGTTCCACGTTTCAGTACGATAGATTACTTCCGTTTGGAGAAACGGGGATACCGAATGGATATAATACAATATAAAGGTTTTCTCTCGAGATCGTACATACATTCCCCCGCGCTCCGAATGTATTACCAAACGGCCATCATTCTTAACTCGGCCAAGGTTCATTTCATGGCCCATCGGGAAACTATCAGGCGAAGATAAGACGAGGAGGAGAAAGCGCGCGTTGTCTTTCTCACCCGATCGGAAAACCCGCGATATCCACGAGAACACGCTTTATTGAATGGCGATTAAGAAAATGATGTCCCGGGAGTATATTTATAAAGCATCTCGGTACGAAATTCCGACGAGTGCCGGCGCACCGTATTATTATCATTGTTAAAAACTATAATAAAGTATATCGGGCAATGAGAGCCTCAACACAGCGCGAAAATTGGTGCGCAATAAAATATAATTATCTAATAATGTTTACATAATATATAAATGTATAATATTATTGTCTAGTATCTACGAATTTGCTGAAGATGATTTAAAGAAAACCGAAACGTTTCAAATAAGGTGGATCGACAATAATTGTACGTTTATACATTATGTAAACATTATCAGATATTATAATTATATTTTATTGCGCATCAATTTCCGCGCTGTGTTGACGCTCTCATTGCCCGATATACTTTATTATAGTTTTTAATTTCAAGAGCCCGAATATTTAAATTTTACATTTTTTTTGTTATTACATTGTTGTTTGGATGATTTTTTTCATGATAAATTGATTCCGCGCTAAAATACTTATATCGATAACAAGATTGTTCTCTTTGCACGATTTGATTACCTTGAACTATCGTGCACAAAAACAGGCGTTTACAACGTCAACAATTACGCATTTTTCTCCGGCTATCGCCTCCAAAAAAGAAAGGTTTAAGCAAATATAGAGCGACGGCCTTTATCTCGGCCTCATTACACCGTCGTTTGCATTTTGATTAAACCTCATATAACATTACAATATCGTGGCGTAAGCTACGCGCGTAAGCTACGAAAATGCACGTTCTTGTTGCAGATAACTACTTTACTATTTTTAACTTAAAAAATGCCAAGTGCGTCGCATCTCGCAATAATGAATAACACTCTCCCGACATGCCGTATGTTTGCATAATTAAACGCGGGTCACCCATTTGAATTGCAACGAAATCGATATCGTTTCAATTCGTTACCCGAATTTACTGTATCATACAGATCGTACTGTATTACGTGTGTTTTCAATTTATTTCACATTTCATTATTTAAAGTATGCCGTAAAAGCCACGAGATGCAAAAGTATTAAAGAACGAGAGTGCACCTGTCTTTTACGTGGAAAGAACGAGTTTGCTAAAGTATCTAAAAATATAGCTCTATATTAGATACATATCTAAATAATTTTGGTATTTTAATTTACACTCGAATAGCCTGTGTTGGTTTATATCAGCATTATTTATCGTTTTAGATTTAATCATTTGATTTAATCACCTGTTTAATCTATTAATTTTGAATCTAAATAATTTTGTTGGACTATAATCAAAATAATTATGTATCTATCTACACTGAGAAAAATTTCTGATTGAAAATAAACGAGTCGGAAGATTGTGATCACATCAATTCTGGTTATCTCAGCTAGAATTATAATAAATTCAATTAGAAAATTCTTATTTATCCATTTTCATTCACCACTCCAGTTAATGCAATCAAACTTATATTTCCATTATAGGAATCTCAATGATGAACAATATTGCAAGAAGTTTTAACATTCTAGCAATTAGTTTGATTCCTAATTATTTTGACAGTCTAACAAAATTATTTTCAGATATGTATTTACACTGAAAAAGAGAATTAATTAAATTCTAAAATAAATATTTACCAATAAAAAATTATACTTAAATCAAATTAATGGATTTCGTATCAAATAAATACATGTTTACATTTAGTAAATATTTATATAGTACTATATTCAAACAAATATTTATTAAAATTTAGTAATTTTTTTCAGTATACCTAAAAAATTAAATTTTACTTCAGCAAAACCGCTCATTCCTGTCTTCTTCGCAAGTTTAATCATCGCAGCAATCGTAAATTAATAAGAAAATTAATAAACGCACTGAGAAGGAGAAAGAGATAGTTCATGTACACGATATATTATTTCTCAGGCGCGTAAGAGAGACGTTTGAACGCGAAATAAACGCGTTTCAGATCAGTCGCGAGGAGAGCGCGATTCGGGTGAACGTACTATTTATACATCACCTTAAAGACAACACCACGCACCGTTTTGCGTCCATAGCACCGTTGAGGAATCTCAAGATC